ACCTCTTCCAATAGCACCAGCAGGGACCTGCAAGAGCCCCAGAAATGCCAGATGAAAAAGACTGACCAGAATCAAACAGTAAGTGCTCTGAAACTAAACTGCCATTGGAATGACAGCCCCAAAACTAGGCCAGAACCTAGACCTTAAAGTCAAAAAAGGTGTCAGGTACTAAAATAACAGATTAAGAATTAAGACTCTTCTAATACCATAGCTAAACTATGTAGGATACAGTAACAATTTCTATTACCATACCAAGTATTAGGAAAATCACTGAGAAAAAAAAATCAACTGATGCTAATACTGAAATGAATGCAATGTTGAATTTAATTGATAAGGATAAAACAGTTGTTTTAAGAATATTTGAACAAGCAATTAAAATTCTCTTGAAGTGTGAAAAAGACAAAAATTGAAGACATAGAAGTAATAAAGAATCATGTGGATATTATAAACTAGAAAATGGAGTAACTGAAATTGCAAAACACACCCACTGGACATTAGAGTGGAAATGGTGGTGGGTAGAACTCCTCAACCTGATGGCAAATCAGTAGTGTTTATTCAATCTGAATAAGAAACAGACAATAGGATAATATGCGTGGAGTCTCAAAGATTTGTGAAACAGATATCTAAACACATAAAATATTTAACATTCCATCATTGGAATCCCAGTAGGAAAAGAGAAAAGCAGGAACTGAAAAAGTGCTCAAAGAAATAATGATTGACATCTCCTTCCATTAGGTGAGAAACATAAAGCTACAAATTCAAGAAGGTAAGAGAATTCCAAATAGCGTAAACCCTCCAAAATCCAAAAAAAGACTCATCATCATTAAACTCCAGAAAAACAAGAAAGGGGGAAAAAGCCTTAAAAACAACTAAAGATAAATAATGAATTCTCTGCAAAGTAAGTCCAAATTATAAATAACATCCGATTTCTCACCTGAAATCACCGAGACCAGAAGTTAGTGGAGTATTTTTCAAGTGATAATTGTTAACCATGAATCCTGTATCTGGCAAAAACGTTCTCCAATAATTATGGCGAGAATAAGACATTCTCAGACTTAGGAAAGTTAAGAATTTGTTGCCAGCAGGCTTACCTTTAAAGACTGGTTAAAAGCAGCATCCCAAACAAAAAATATGTCCTAGTTCGAATTATGATTCACCTCCCCCCCAGTTCATAAGTTGCACCCCTGACCTCCACTGTGTCAGGAGATGGTACCTGCAAGGAGGTGACTGGGGTTGAGGTTATAATAGCAGGACCCCACTATGAAAGGAGGGTGCTCACCCAGGACAGCAGGTTGCACAGGGCCCTGCACTCACTTAAAAGGCATGTTTGGGCACAGAACAAACACAGCTGCCTGCAAGTCAGAGCAGCCCCTGAAAAACCAAGCCTTTGACATCTTGATTTTAGGACTTCAAATCTCCAGAGCTGTGAGAAATAAATTTCTGTGGTTGATGTTGCCCAGGCACTTTGTTACTGCAGCTTGAGCTGACTGAGACAGATTATGGCAACAGAAAAATGATGGAAACTTCACAAAGAGAAAGAAAAATGAATACAGAGGTGACATAATGGACTACCCACCCCCACCACTTGAGTTTCTTTATTGAAACCAAGATGGTAAAACCAGTGATGTGGTGCTTGATATATGTAGTGTAAGACAATCATATTTAAAAAATGGTAGGGCTCTCCCCAGTGGCACAACAGGTTAAAGCATCACACTATGAAGCTTTTAGAAGCCACTGCAGCAGCATGAGTTCAATCCCCATCAGGGGCGACCCACATGGCTTAGCAGACCTCTCCTGACACACCGGCTGATCCCCTCAGTGGTGTATTTCAGTCCATCTGCCTGTTGGGCTGCCCACTCTGTCTCATGAATCCTCTCACCCCTTGCACTTCTGCCCTACACCCCAGTTTTTTTTTTTAAAGATTTATTTATTCGTACAGAACTGAGGTACAGGCCAGAGATGTGGAGGGTGAAAGGATTTACCAGAGACAGAGTGGGGAGCAGAACAGGCAGATCGACAAAGTACACTGCTGAGGGGAGCAGCGGGCGGGTCAGGAGAGGTCTGCCGCGCCATGTGGTCACCTCCGGGGCAGGCAGGCAGGCGGGGATCGAACTCATGCGGAAGAGGCTTAAGCTTCTTAGTGTTGTGCTTTAACCCGCTGCGCCACCAGGGAAGGCCCAACCCCAGTTCTTATATGCAAAAATAAATAAATCTTTAAAAAAACAAAAAGATATTAAACTTAGTGAAAAAAATACAGGTTACCGAAGAGAGTCAGGGTTAAGGAGGAGGGAATTGGGGATTGAGGGAACTAGTACATTGGCATTGGAGGTTTGGTGTAATTTGAGTGAAGACTGAGCACATATGGAGTAAAAATGTTACCTCAACATTATGTAGACATGTAAACAAATGACAGATTTAATTAAAAAAAATAAAGAGAGAGGTATACACAGGAAAAAATTACATTAAAGAGAACATTTAGTTTGGAAATGAAATAAATATAGAATACAAAAGTGAAACAGAGTGCATAAAAAATAAACCAATAAATCTTTTACAGCTGTTGTTCCTTATCTATGGTTTCGTATTCCAAATTTTCAGTTATTTATGACCAACAAAAGTCCAAGAAAAAAATTATGTACAATAAGAGACCACATTCACATAAGTCTTGTTACAGCATGTTGTTATCATTGTTCTTTTATTATGGTTATTGTTGTTAACCTCTTACTTGACTAATTTATAAATTAAATTTCATCATAGTATATATGTATACAAAAATAGCTTATACAGGATTTGTACTATCTGTGGGTCAGGTATCCATTGCAGTTCTTGGAACTTATCCTCTGAGGATGGGAAAGGGGTGAAACTACTGCATTTCTAATGCAATTTATGGTTTCCAAAGTACTTTCCTTTTTTGATTTATTGAATTTTTAAGTAATCTCAGAAAATGATAACGCTAACATTTTCCCAAGTCATGCACTTGGAAATAACTACCATTAACATTTGCTTACATACCTTCTCCAATGTGTCTGTAATTACATTAAGTCAATGTTAACTCTACAAAGTATTTTGTGGGTTACACTATTCTTTCTCTATTACTCCTTTTGTATGTTCTTTCTTGGAACTCTCAATTTACACTAGGTGATTACCCCTACAGATTTCATACAGTTGATTGTTAAGATGTCTAATGTGAACACATTTGTATAGTTTTTCTTTAATGTACCTATTCCCTTTTCATTTATTTTAGCATAGAAAAACTAGGGTGTAGGCCAGAGATGGGGAGAGGGGAGGGGTGAGAGGATTCACAAGAGACAGAGTAGGGAGCAGAACAGGCAGATTACTGAAATACACTGCTAAGGAGAACAGTGGGGGAGACAGGTCTGCTGCATCATGTGGGTCAGCTCCCTGGCCAGGGGTTGAACTCCCTGTTTGATCCCTGTTGTGGTAGATCTTCACAACTGCAGCACTGCAACTTAACCCCCAGGCCAGCAGGGAGGCCTCTTCACTTGTGTAATTCAAAAAAACACAGGCAACAATAAAGTTAGCTTCCTTATTGCAAGACAAGAAGTTAGGATCGTGCATGTCCCTGTGGAGTGAGGAGTCTGATGAGGCAGGATGTCACCCAGGCAAGAGGGGTGAGTAGATAGATGCAGAGGCACACAGACCCTACACATGCTCAGCTTCTTTCATCCAGTGGCAAGGGATTGTGGGTCATCTGCACCAGGGCAAAGGAGGGTTTCTCTGCATTTGAACTGAGGAAAACCAAGACTTCAGAAGGGGCAGATGGACAACCATAAAATGATTTGTCACACAGATCTGAGGCCTTGGAAAAGGTATCTGGGCCCTGTTCTAACTCAACGCTACTCAGTGACAGGGTCAGGATGCTAGACAGAGAGACATCTGTGATGGGGAGTTTGCACCCTGCAGGGGACCCAGGCCTGCCTGATTCTCAGAAGACCCAACCTCCAGCCTGCCCCTAATTGCTCTGAGCCTGTGAACTGAGCCAGGGCTGGGCTGTAAACCCCCACCATTTTAAACTGGAAGGAGCTGGGAATGCTGGCAACATATACTTGCCTCTTTCACTCTTAGTGGCACCCCATAATTTTGCACGTACACCTGAAACATACACACTAGTATTAAAACAGAAGATTCTTTTCATTGTCCACATCCTTCAGAGTCAGCCCCAGACTTGACCACTGTTCTCCTTGGTTCCCTATTCACCTCTAGGACAAGAAAGAGAAAACTTAGAATTTAATGCTAGGAGATTTGCATCCTCACTAGAACACCCAGGACAAGTTTCTAAGCTATGCACGTGAATTCAAGGAACAGGAAATATTTTTTTAAGATTTATTTATTTACGCATATAAGAACTGGGGTACAGGCCAGAGGTGGGGGTAGGGTGGGGGAGGGGCAGCGGGAAAGTTTACCAGAGACTGAGTAGGGAGCAGAACAGATGGACACTGCTGAGGGGAGCAGTGGGCCGGACAGGAGAAGTTTACTATGCTATGCATGTCAGTTCTCTGGCCAGGGATAAAACTCATGCCACAGTGGCTGGTGATAGCTTGACAGTACTGAGAGTTAATCCCTGCACCACCAGGGAGGGCCCAAACTTACTGACTTTAGCAGATATATATATATTTTTAAAGTAACAGCTTATTTTTACATCACCTTGTGCCTTTTTCCATCTCAGTTGTAATCCCCGTGGGCTTCCTATCACCAAATTACCTGTGTGTTTACCAGATATTTTTAATGGTGCATAATGTGGTTACTCTGTGGTTTTAATATAAAAGCTTTTATATTTATTTACATAATGTTGGTGTATTTCAAGGATTGATGTAGAATGTCTATTGCTCTACTATTTTCCCTAAGAATTTCAAATCATTTAAAAAAAGCAGCAGTATCTCAACATAAACTCTAGAAAGTATAAATATAGTTGGAAAATTGTTCTGCCTTATCTATTTATAAAATAATAATGCTGGTACTTTAGTAATTATAAGAGTACAGGACTTTAATCAGTATGAACCCAGGAAATTTCAGATACTATATATTGAAGAAAAACACTTAAGAAATTAAATTGTTTCTCAACACACACACACAGAAAACTTTGCTAGGTTTACAAAAATGTTAAGATCAAAAAATTATTGTGTTGAATATGCTACATAGGCAAATAGACTGCTTATCAGGAATGTAGGTTTATTTCATTAACAAAACAAAACAGATTCATTCCCCAAAGAGTATTCTTTAAAGCAGCAGCAATCACAAGGCACATATGTACGAAATACCTCAAGCAAAATAGACACTAAACATTACAAAATATGTTATTTAAAAAGATGTTGAAGACCATTTGTTATTCACATACATTATAAAAATGACATCTTTTAATAATTTTATTCCCTTACCTGTAATAAAAGGAGTAACATGTTATTTCTGCACTCTGCAGCATGTATCACAAACATTTATAACACCTAACTTGGTTTGCTAAAGAAGAAACAGGTAGCTGAATTACAGCTTAAAATTTTTACTTTCAGTGCTTTCACATCTTTTAAAAAGTATTTGGAATTCATAATCTGAAAAGAACAAAAAGCCTCCTTTTCCTTAACTTAGAAAAAGCCTATAGTCGAATGTCTCTAGACAAACCCACTATACAAAAAAAGGAATACATTTAGAATATTCTAAAATATCAGGGACATGGTTTATACTTTGGGATCATCACAATAATCTTCTTCCTGAAACAGATTAGAAGTCAACACATAATAAATGTAAAGGTCAATTATATTAAAATAAAACAGTATTTGATTTAAATTATTGCTTACTTAGGAAGTATAATGACTACTCTCTGGCTAGAGGTGCTACGATTAGCTGTTAGAAATGGCACAACGTCAAGATTTAGTGTATATAAAAACTCTAGGACTCAAATATTATAATGAAAACTTTATAATAATCACACACAAAGTGTTCCTTTATTAGCCACCATGAGCTAAACATGATAAAGACTGAAAAAAATATGGTTGAATTAGATCTTTCGGAATACATTTTGCATCACATATGCTGAAGTGTTGTTCCTCAAAGCTTTAATGTTGCAAAGCTACTTTCTATGAAATTATTAAGGGGTGTTTACAGAAAGGAGATAAACTAAAGCTCCACTTTTAAATGACAACAAAAATATAAAATATTAGTATAATAAAACATTTAAATAGTACTAAACAGCACAATTTAAATACTAGTCTTTTGCTGTCATTAGTTTTACTCTTAAAAATATCTTGGGCTTTTAGGCATGTTTTCTGTTTTAAGAATAACCAGCATCCCTCTCGTGCCAGAGTCCGTATCTACCACTGTAAAAAATCCCCAAACATCCACAGGCCTTCCTCCAGGTCGCTCAGCAGCAACACCGACGTCTGTGTTCATGTTACGTGGCAGGTGGCCAAGTGGCCCACAGTCCGCACTAAAGCAGGACAGCCTGGGCCACCTGCTTGACTGTGGCTGCAGCCTTGTCCAGTTCCTCTTCTGTTTGTTCCACCGTCACCACAACCCTAATGCTGACAAGAAAGACAAAATCATCATGTAAAGTCTGCCTCACCCAAGCCCATTTTTCTGAGTCAAGTTCTACACCACCCAGCCTCCCATTAGCTGATCTACCATCTGCAGCTGCTGTCTCCACCGTGGCAGGGCTGAGCTGGAGTAGGCCCGTGTCCTGAAGCCTATCTGGACAGTTACAGAAGTGTGTTGGGGATAGTGTGAGTCTAGTCAAAGCACCCTGGCAGGGGCTGGCTCTGCCCAGGTTGCCTGGACAACTGGTCTTTTAAGTAATCTTTTGTTGCTTCAAGCACACCAGGCCTGAAGCAGGAGTTCAACAATAGGGAAATTAAAGAGGGTTTGGTTACTCACAATTAACCAAAAGTCATGTGAAAATCTTGTAACAACAAGGCAAGGCAGGAATCTTCATGTTTCAGGAAACTGAAGACAAGAAATGGAACCTGACAGGGTGAGCCTACTCTTTTCTCTGCACTCCCCTCTGCAAACATCTACTCAGTACACTGGGCACATTCTGAGCAGGACTTCACTGGGCATGGAGTCTGAGGACATAGCAGTTTCAGATTTTCTTCCTCAAATCCTGGCGCACACCTCTCAATTGGGGAAGGGAGAAAGGAACACAGGATTGTGAGGGTGTTTCACAGCTGTTGCCAGAGTGGCTCCCAGAAGCCATCTTGCACCCCGTTTCTGTGAAACACTCCAACTCTGATTCTCCCCTAGCCACCTTTTCCCCCTTTTCCAGCCTTCCTCTTGCTGCTGTGTCTCGCATTTGTGCTCTGGGCTCTCCAGATGCAGTGATGGGTCTCCGCCATCACTGCACACTCTGCAGGAAGGCCACCATGCCCACCAGGTGTCAACAAGCATATTTGACAGGTTTAATTTTCCAGACTAGGCTTGAACATCACCTGGGTTCCTCCTTGGCCAGGACTAACTGTGGCCTCTTCCTGTGACCTGAGTGACCGAGTGCCATGAACACAAACCCCCTTCAACGGCAGTGCACGTTCTTCGATACTCAGGATGTTTTGTTGAATGAATGCTGATTTTCTATCATGAGTCAAGGCACCTTCCAATGCAGAACTTCTGGAACCTCTCTAGATGTTCTCTGGGCGTTTCATAAGTGTCTGTCACATGAAGCACCACGTGGTGTTATGGACAGCAGCAGGCCGAGTCCTGCCACCCCCTGGCCTGTGCCATTCCTGCAGGACTGCCCCCAATTGCACAGCTGCACTAGCACAGTGGAGCAGAGAAGTGACTGGCACTTCTATCTCACTTCATTCTTGGGACTGCAGCCATTTAAGTTAAAAGGGAGGGTACTGTGAGCCCATAGGGCTTCTCAGTTAAAGGTTGGGAAACATCTAACTTCAGAACAGAAAACAAATGACATACAGTTGACCCTTGACAACATGAACATTAGGGACTCTGACTCCCCACCCGCATCCTTGTGCAGTAGAAAAGTCTACATACAACTTTTCACTCCAAAACTTAACTACTAAAAGCCTGTTGTTCACTGGTGGCCTTCCAACACTATGAAAAGTTGATTACTGCACATTTTATGTATGTTTTATATGCAGTATCCTTATATCCTTATAATAAAGTAAGCTAGAGAAAGGGAAAAGCTAGTCTTAACAGAAAACCCATTTTTAGCGCTACATTGTAGGTATCATCAGTACCTTAACTTTATAGTCTGTTTACAAGAAAATCCAAGCAGTGTTGTGCAGCCTGACAGGTCTTCCTTACCTTATAGCAGACTCTCAAAAATACATTTCACATGGAATTTAAAGTAGAAAAATAAAAGGTGGTGTTTTATTGTCTACCAACCTTGGAGGTGGGAGGCACTTCTCTTCTTTCTCCAGGTACCGTGCCTGAGTTAGTGCAATGCCTCTGCTCATGCACTGTGTGAAGAAAGGGAATCCATTTACAAAGTGTTTGCAGACACCGAGGCAGTTAACCCAGGGAAGCACACTGAGTGCGGTCCTCAACAGCAGCTGTGGTTCGACTGTCCAATCATAACCACTAAAAACACAATGCACAACACAGTCTGGACAGGGCCATTCTACAGACCCCTCTGGGGCAACAGACTTTGTGCCACACCATCCAGGCCGGAAGCCACAAGGTCATTTGGCTATTGGCACTTTGAGATGTGACCTAATTTTGTATTTTACTAAATTTAAGTATGACTCTAGGTCGTGGTCATCCCTTTAGCCACTGCAGAACAGGACATGAGCAAACAATATAAACGCAGTCCTGCAGGCTAGCTAAGAGTCAGGCTGGGGAGTAAGGTCAGCAGGTCTGTCTCAGAAGGCTGCAAACTTCAAACAACAGCGATATCGCTGATCTCTGGGCGGCACATTTGGACAAGGTGCCCCCAAGCACAAGAGTATGCACTATTCCGCACAGCCTGCCCATACACTAACCCAGTGCCAATAGTGAAGACGCCTGAGAATGCTACCAAAACAAAGCAAACATAAAATCAGACCATGGTAATAGGTTGTAAGGCTTTTTTGGGGGGTAGGGTGGTCATGTTTAGAATTAGATGGCAATGGCTGCACAACTGGAGTGTATACTAACTGCTCACTTGAGCAATTTAAAAGGCAAAGCTTAAGGTATGTGAATCATACCTGTAAGAAATCAATAGCAATAGGTGGTGTAAGAAAGAACAATTATTCCCAGGGCTTGGCAGAAAAGGAATCTGCCGGAAAAGGGGCCACCTTGTACGCTGCAGGCAGGTTTTCTTCTACTATGAACTAAAAATGAACTACCACCAGGCAGTGACGCTAGATTTCTATTGATTCCACATTTTAGAAGTATATCTGGAAAAGTCCGTTAGTCCCAAAATCACCTATACTGGTTCTGTCTAGCCTTGGCTAGTGAACATAGACCACTGTGCAGTTTGCAAAAACAAAAACATGGCAAAACTCTCAATTCTTTGAAGCTTAAACTAAAGCTATAGTGCTGTGACTCTTCTCTCTCAAATATTAGAAAGAAAAAGGGGAGAGGAAGGACAAAGGGCCTTTGCGGTGAAGCCATGGGTGATGCAAAGAAGTGGTGAGCCCTTTCTTGCTTCAACAAGTGCAAATTTTCAGATATTAGTTCGTCGCCTCTCCAGAGATTTAGCTCTTTTCTGTCAAATTTCAAGATGATCTTCTGAAGACAGCCAGGACGGAGCTGGGGCCCACAGGCAGCATTTGGGGAGCTGTTCCCCGTATGCACGTTCACTGTCTCTTCAACAGTTACGATCATCTATGAAGCACAGGGCAATGGCACTGAGTCAGTCCATTCACCCGTGTTCACCTCAGTCTCCCTCTGGTGCACAGTAGTAGTAAAACCTTAACTGCTACTATCCAGTGAGAACAAGACAGGGCAGTGTGATACACAGCAGGTTGTCCTGAGGGGGCTGGAGGAGAGGCCTGGGGGATGAGGGCAGCACGGTGCGGATCACGGCTTGGGATGTGCAGCAGTTCTGCAGCTCCCTGCATCAGCCTCAGCAGCAACTCCGTTTGGGAAACAAACTTAGGTGGAACAGGAAAGCAAGGTAACCAATTGGGATTTTACTGGTATGTTTATTCAACTTATATTTATTTTATAAGCTTGCTCAGTTTTATGTTTGTTTAAGAACTATAACCAGGAGGATGCTGCACTTCCCTTTTTTTTTTTTTTTAAAGATTTATTTATTCATACAGAACTGGGGTACAGGCCAGAGATGCGGAGGGTGAGAGGATTCACCAGGGACAGAGTGGGGGGCAGAACAGGCAGATCGATGAAGTACACTGCTAAGGGGAGCAGCGGGGCGGGTCAGGAGAGGTCCGCCGCGCCATGTGGATCTCCTCCGGGGCAGGCGGGGATCGAACTCATGAGGAAGTGGCTTAAGCTTCTCAGTGCAGTGCCTCAACCCGCTGCGCTACCAGGGAGGGCCCTGCACTTCCCCTTTTTAAAGATTTATTTTTATATACTTATGCATGCAAGAGCTGGGGTACTGGCCAGAGGTTCAGGAGGTGAGAAGATTCACCAGAGACAGAGTGGAGTGCAGAACAGGCAGATCTACTGAAATACTCTGCTGAGGGGAGCAGCACAGGAGAGGTCTGCTGCACCATGGGGGTCAACCCCCGGCTGGGGATCAAACTCATGCTGCAGTGGCTGGGGATAGCTTGATTGTGCTTGATTGTGCTTTCCTGCCTTTACCCCCTGTACCACTAGGATTTGTTGTCTGAACAAATTTAAAAGACTTAACAATTAATATATTGAGGCAGTGAAAGGAGTCTGTGGTATACTTTTCCTCTTTAAAGAGTCTTTTTTCCTGTTTGCTGTGCCTTGGGGGAAACCTGTGACATTTCCTTCTGTAGCAACTGAGAGTCCCTTTACTCCAATCATTCTGAGTGTGACACATTTCCTTCATGAGCTACCTCAGATTCTCGGTGTGACTTTATTTTATTTGAGACAACTAACTCTGGAAGGCCATGCACTGCACAGAGCTGACACAGATCTGTTACTCCATCTGTGGTTCACATGTTGTAGGAGATGGGACATTGAATACGTCATGAAATCAGAGGTGGCATCACACTGCATTCTCCATATTAGGCAAGGGCCTGCCTTTCCTGAGCTCCAGGCTGGCCAAAGGCACCAAAAGGCAGCTACCCTCGTTACCTGACACCTACAGCACATATCTGGAGCAGGAGCCTTTGGAAGGAACCCTCTAGACAAGCATGCCAATGAAGGCTGTTTGCATTCTCAAGTACATCCTAGATGTGCTGCAGATTAAGGTAAAGGGCAGCATTAACCCAGGCACGCATGCTCACTGTGCGGCAGGGCCACTGGATGCTAGAGAGAGTGGCACTGAGGAAAGTGAGGAGGCGAGGATCAGGAGACACGGCTCCACTGAACAGCAAGAGCAAAGCACAAGTGAGTCTTCCCTGGTGGTGCCCTGCACAGTTGGGGCTTTGCCTGTCCAAGAGTGTGCACAATCACTTGGTGCAGTGCACCCCCACCTAAAAGATGAAAGGCTGGCTCTGTAAATGAGAAGCAAATGGATTCTCTAGAAGGCTAATCATTCAGAGTAGAAGAAAGTACACTTTAATATAAGGTGAACACAACCTCAGTTGGAGCTGAAACAGACCTAACGGGACAAACTACAGCTGCCAGTAAAGATGAGTTATAGACTTACCTGGACAGTGCCAGACATGGGATGACTGGGCATCTGAACAAGAGGCAGCAAGCAATTCCCATTATGGGGGGCATTTCTTAAAAATGATGTTAAGACATTGCTTGGGCCCAGGGTAAGAAGACAGTCACTGGAATAACAGATACTTACTTGATTTACAATTTCCTGAAGTAGTTTAACATCTTTTTCTCGAGATCCAGTGCTCTCTTCTAGCTGTAAGTGAAATGCTGGGGAAATGGACTCCCCTACTACTTTTAATCCAGAAATGCTAAAGAAGGAAAAAAACACAAGTATAAGTTCTTTCCAGGTTCAAAGACATCTCACATATAATTTTATAGAGTTGGCAATGCCAAGGCCCACTGGATGTTATCAGAAATTTGCAACTTTATGGGAGACATTATTCAGTGGCTTTTCCAAAGTTGACAGAGAAATGTATGCCCCAGGCAGTGCTTCTGAGTCTAGGAAACACCTGCAACATGGTTTCTGGGAGGCTGGCAGGGAAGAAGTCTTGCTGTCCCAGACACACCTCTGGTTTAGATTTCACAGAAAATAAAAGCATCGTCCCCAGAGCCCCCTAGGAAAGGCCATAGGCCCTGCTCCTCATCCACCACCCACTGGCAGCCCATCCTCACAAGTCCACTCAGCCACAGTTCAAGTCGGGCCCTTTCATTTTCTCTCATCTGCGCTCTCCAGGTCTTAATGCTAATGTTAGTGCTACAAACCCGAGTCTAAATCCAGAATCAGCTCTGAGTGCTCCCCTTCTCACAATTTTAAGGGAGGGTCTGCGCCACCATTTTCTATTAGTGTTTCCTTCATGGACCACTTGTCACAACTGATAAAGTTCCTTACGCTATTTACATTTGAGTCTGCCTCTTGTCTTCTCCAAAACTATATGAATGGTTTCTGGCATTGTTATACTTTGACCACCGGCAATACTTAGAATAAAACGTTTCACTTTTATTTGTAGATTTTATTTACATTTTTGTTTGAATTACAATTACTTCCTTCTCTCCCGGGATTTAACAGAACAGAAAACTACTAAGGGAGGAAGACAGATTTTTTTTTTTAGGGGTAAAAAACATTTACAAATGATCACCATACATGGCATGAGAACTACAGGCCATTATTTAGATAGGTTCGTTTAAAGTCCATTTTCTCCTATAATAAAAACACTGCTTGATTTATTGATTTATTCATTTATTTATTTGACCAGCATACAAGCGGTGGTACATACCTACTGGAAATAGAATTAAACAGCTCATTTTTATTTATATCTATCAGAGATGTCAGTTAGCCCTGGTGGGTAAAATGAAAGATGGGGGATTTGGAGCAGAACGGTAAGAAAGAGCAGGGAGAGTGGAGGACTCTCTGTCTATCAGAATAAAGGACACCTGACATTGGTATTCATGAACTTATGGTGACTCGAATGTGCAGGGCCGTGTTGGCTGGCATATTAATATTTCATAAACCAAGTTACTGGAACCACCACCCACAATCTTCTCTAGCATAAATCATGCAAGAACTTTTTTGTACTTTCATGTGGACACACCCAGAATTTTAATTATTTCTTTTCCACTTTATCTGGAACAGCTGTGATCTGCTTATTTATCAACAGTCCTTTCCTTTTTCCAAAGTCTCCAATTTTTTAGATCTGGAATAGAAATAGGACTTTTGCCACCAAAAGGCATATTTTACCTTAGGACAGTCAAGCAAGCTAAACAAAACAAACTTACAAAAAAACTTGGGCACATGAGTGCCTAAAGAGGCCACCAATCTCAATTTTTTCCTCAACTCTAGAGGAATCACCATGAACTATTCTTTTGTAGTTGAAACACATCAACAAACATGCATACGGTTCACTTCAATTTCACTCATTTTTTTTTACATGTTCTTTTTTCATACAGACAGTATGAGTCCACTGTCACCTAATTCATATATGCAGCGATAACATTTAGTGAATATAGATGTGAGAGCTTCTCCAGTGCTAACCCTGTTACTTCTGGTGGTAGCATGTTAGGGTGTTATTTTCTATACTACTATAATATTTTAATAATGAGCTTGTATCATGTTTAGAAAAGCAGTCATGATTCTTTATAACAATGATGGAATGGATACTCTGGTTTTGTACACATGGACAAATTTCAATGAACTCAGTTTTCGGGTTTTTAGGTACATTCAATCAAACGGACCCAAGTCTATCAAATATACTGAAAATCAGAAAGATGACATTTATTTTTCATTGGTTGTTTAAATGTAGGCCAGATAAACTTTAAATTGGTTGAAAATATATATATAACTTACTCTTGTAAAGCTTTATGAATTTGCTTGCATTTTTCCTTCAATACTGCAAAAATACCTGTATAAAAAACACACACACTTGTTGGTATATTTCTAAGATGTGATTACTAATCTCAAAAGATTTTTTAAAAATGCAGTCCAAGCTCATCAATTTGAAAGTTGCAAATTTTTCCATGTATTAAAAACACACATTTAGACAAAAAAAAAAACTCCTTTCTAAAGACCCTGACTTTTACCCTTGGTATCTTAATTTTACCCAACTTTCAACAAAACCTAGGATGAGGTATTCCTCATCCAACTAATGGTTCTTGTTCATCTACAAATAATCTGGTTGAGAGACCTAAAGGGAATGAACATATTACTTATTTATGTATGCTAAATAATCAGGGGGAAAAACAGACACAACAGTAATGATTATGATTTCTTCCTCTTCCTGATGGCTTTTTTTTCCAAGGAAAATAACTAAAACACATGAGCAGGAAGTGGGCACACTAGGCTATCTGACATAGGAACATATGAATGTGCACATATTTCTGAATTCTTGGAATTAAAACTAATGTCAAATATTCAGAAACACCTGGTAATGCCTGCTATTCCCTTCCTATTTCAGGCTTTGGTGAAGAGGCACTCTTCCTGCCAAAAGTCACATTTAATCACTGTGCCTATCAAGTTAGGTGTGTGTTTAAACGAGGTTTCCCTCAGCATCAACTGATTCTGAGACTGAAGAGGAAAACTAGACAAAAAGTTGTATATACAAAAATTTAGCAGCAGACTATCAGCTCGAAAGATGATAAACCTAGTGATTTGAAGTCTGGAACTGACACCTCCTGTCACCTCTATACATCAAGGGCACTGCTGTGCTGTGGCTCCAGGTCTGGAAAGAAGAGAAGCCAAGTCCCTGGGGCAGATACAACTTCTTCACTGCTATTCTTCCTAAAGATGGTATATAGGGGCCGCCTCCCTGGTGGTACAGAGGTTAAAGTCTCAGTGCTGCCATGAGTTCCAAACCCAGGCCAGGGAGCTGAACCACATGGCACAGCAGACCTCTCCTGTCTCACCTGCTGCTCCCCTCAGCAGTGTATTCCAGCAGATCCACCTGTTCTGCTCCCCACTCTGTCTCTGATGAATCATGTTACCCCTAAACTTCTGGCCTATGCCCCAGGTCTTGCATGCATAAGTAAATAAAATAAATCTTTAATAATAAATGCTGGGTATTATCATTCAGAGCTAGTTTTATGTGATAATTTCTGCTGGCTAATACCTCCAAAACACAAACCATGATTATAATAACCCAGGTGTCTTTGACTGCCTGCAGTTCATAGGTTATACCTGGATTTTCTTCCATGATGTTGAGAGCCTCAATTGCAGCAGCAGCTAACAGGGGAGGTAATGAAGCTGAAAAGCAGTATCCCTGGCCTGAAAGCCGCTAAGAAGAAACAAATGAGTCAAAAACATAAATACATTTCTTTGCCTTTTGTGGGAGCTAAAAATTCTAAAGGCACCAAATCTCTCTACCATCCACTGACTAGCAAGGTGGTAAGGTCCAGCATACATAAAGTTATACATACAAACAAGAATTTTTTTAAGGGACATAATTTTTAGATGTAAATATTATGAGTGATTCTTTAACTGACTAAAAAAATGTGATAAACTATTACAATGAAATTTTAATGTAAATCATAAGTTACATTTAGGGGTAACCAAAAACAATTGGTTTGTTTTTGCTTTTTTTTTTCCTATAAAAAGAACCTACCTGGTGGTCAATTACAAAAGACCTGCCACAGCAGAAACCCCCGATAGAAGCAAGTGAGTTCTCCATATTGGCACTGATAAGGTCAATATCATCAATCTGCCAGAAAAGAGGGAGCATCAATGTTATTCCTCAATGTAAAAGAAAAAAGGTCAATGTCAAGCCTGCAGATAAAGTTGCAGCACTAACCAAGTCAACATCTGGATTCAAGAAAAACTACCTACTAAAAATAAAGAATAAGCCATACAAAATCTATCATTAAATGAAATGTTTTTCAAAGTGTTTCTTTCTTTCATTTTATGCCTTCTTGCCATTTCATCATTCATTGACAATTTAGTCACAGTGGAAGAGATAAATGAAAAGGATAAAATTCAAAACTGTTTGATACTAAATTTATCTGTAAGTGCAAAATAAAATCATTTCCTTGCTGAAACAGTAGTCTAGCCAGCCTTCCATCACAGACGTTAACTTAAAATAAATAAAAAGAAATCTAATAGGGGAACTTTGTCCCTACATTCAATTTACCCCTGCCCTTTTCAAAACTGAAATCAGCTCATCCAAACATCATGGCAATTGATTTTTTTAACCAAACTGGGCAAACTAGTCAGTGAACAACCCTAACATGCTCTGTGCGTCCTCGTTCTCTTCTAATCTCCTTAATTCCCCTGCCATCCTCACCTTCGCTCCCCAGCACCATGTGCCAACCTGAGCACAGGGTATCATTTAGCAATTTACTCAGTGATGACTATGATAACAACCAGTTAAGCCACATTTGGTGTTTTTCTAAGCATCCCACAGATTCAAGGAGGAAACCTTGGTTCTATTCTTTTATAGTTTGTCATGAAGAATTTCAAATATACACACATCCTTTGATATCTGTGGGGGACTGGTTCCAGGACCATCCCCCCATCTGTGGATGCTTAAATTCCTTACATAAAATAGCATAGCCAATTGCATATAATCTGCATGTATCCTATGTATTTTAAATCATCTCTATTTACTTAAGATACCTAAAACAATGTAAAGGCTACATAAATGGTTATTAGGACACACTGCACTGTTTAGGGAACAGTGCTAAGAAAAAAAATGTTGCACATGTTCAGTACAGATATAGTCAGACTATGTAGAATGTATCTTCCATAGAATGTATCTTCCATAGAATGTATCTTCCATCCGTAGTTGTGGAACATGTAGATACAGAGAGCTGACTATGAAAGTAGAGAGAATAAAGAATCCTCAGCACCCAGATTCAATAATTATCAACACATATCCTATTCCAACATACTTATTGCCCTTAGCACTTTTTCTTTGGGGCAAAGCTCAGACTTCATATGGCTTCACCTATAAATATTTCAATGTGTATGTCTAAAATATATACACTTTTCAAAATCATAATTATAGAACTATTATCACACCTTAAAAATTATCAAATAGAGGCCCTCCCTGGTGGCGCAGCGGGTTAAAGCACAGCATTGAGAATCTGAAGCCACTTCCGCATGAGTTCGATTCCCGCCTGCCTCCTGCCCCGGAGGAGACCACATGGCGAGCCAGACCTCTCTTGGCCCGCCCGCTGCTTCCCTCAGCAGTGTACTTCGTAGATCTGCCTGTTCTGCTCCCCACTCTGTCTTTGGTGAAAACCTCTCACCGCCCCTGAGCCTCTGGCCTGTACCCCAGTTCTGTATGCACAAACAAATAATAAATTAAATCTTAAAAAAAAAAAATATCAAATAGGGCCCTCCCTCTGGTGGCACAGCGGTTTAAAGCACAGCATTAAGAAGGTAAAGCCACTTCATCATGAGTTCCATTCCCCTTCCCCAGGGTGACCCACATGGAGAGGCAGACCTCTGCTGACCAGCCTGCTGCTCCCCTCAGCAGAGTACTTCATCAGTCGGCCTGTTCTGCTCCCCACTCTGTCTCTGGTGAATCCTCTCACCGCCCTTGCACCTCTGGCCTGTATCCCAGTTCTGTATTCATAAATACTTCTTTTTAATACAAAAAAAAAATATCAAATATCCAGGGTTCAAATATCTGATTGTTTCACAAAGCTTTTTTTATAGTATTTGTCTGAATCATAATGAAGGTTCACACATTCTGCACCTGTATTCAAGTCCTCATTAACAATTTCCAGGACAACTGATAAGAATAGTTAAAAAGCTAGAACGATGTAATTAGTGCCTTTTTCTTTAGAAGTTTTCATCATAAAACTGCTTTAGTAATTTCACTTATATTTCAATTATCTTAAATTCCTTGGGGCATTTAATTGCTAAATATCAGGCTGTCTTTGAGGAATATACTCTATACAATATTGTTACTGTTTTTCTCTAGGACTATACGTGTATTGGGATGCGATGATCTTATGTGACTTCAATATTCTATAATTCAACTTTTAAAAATATTTTGCACTCAAGCTTTTAACACAGATTGCAAAACTTTTCTCCATGGAATTTGGAAAAAAGCTTCCTTTGATTCTACCACAGGTTGTCGAGGGCAGACAGGCTCTGCAAGTGGGTGATGCTGCTCCTCCCTGATCTCAGGAGCACAAACTGCTAAGACTGGGCATCTGGAGCTCATTTCTCCTCAGCAAAAGAAAGCACAACAAACTCATTCATTATCCAGGACCTGGATGAACTTTGCTGGTGGTGTTTCTGACACTAAACATAAATAAAAAAGCCGCAAGGCTCTTATCTACCACCACACAAAGAAAAATTACAGAAATTAGAGAATTTTAAATTATAGAAAGAAAACCCTTTCATTGCCATCATAAAAACTTTCTAAAGCCTCCCTGTGGTATGAGGGGTCAAGTCTCAGCACTTACGAAGCTACTGGCAGTCACTGTAGCACGAGTTCGATCCATGACCAGGAGATGACCCACATGGCGCAACAGACCTCTCCTGTTTCGCCCGCTGCTCCCCTCAGCAGTGTAGTTCAGTAAATTCACCTGTGCTGCTCTCCACTCTGTCTCTGGTGAATCTTCTCAACCCCTGCACTCCTGGCCTGTACCCCAGCTCTTGTATGCATAAATAATTTAAATAAATCTTTTTATAAAAATTAAAAAAAAATTTCTAATAAACAACTAAAGGAATTTATAATTTTAACAATAAAACAGAAGACAGATCTTTTTCTAGATAAGAGTCACTGAAAGTCAGGATCAAATGCTACTACCAAATAACACAAATTCTACAATTAGCCACTTTGAGTTTCCAGTTTTCCAGGTGAGACTAGTCCCCAGGTCTGGTGAACCAGCTCCTTCTTAGGCTCAGTGAGTGACATACCAGTCACTGAAGTCAGCGAGGAGATGGTTTTGTGCCTTTAAAACATGCCCAACAGAAAGAAGCTACATTTTCTGTATGGAGAAATGTTCAAAAAAGAAGAGCTTACATTGATTCCAAAATGTTCTGTGATGCCTCGGCCATGCTCACCCAGGACTCCAAATGAAAGGCTTTCCTCCAGAAAGATTCTTGCTTTGTATTTGTATTTTAATTTAACCTATGTGTTAAGAAAACAACTTTAAAATACTGATGATTAGCAGCATATACAGCAAATAGGTAAGAACAAAATTAAACTGCAAAGAGAGAAAGGAAGTTAGCCTTCAATATTGGTGGATTAGCATTTGCAAATCTACTAGCCAAAATGTACTTGTAAGCCCAAAATTAATACTTAGGATATATGTAGGGAATGGTGAAAACTTTGACCTAACAAGCATGTTCCCAGGTCAGCTTACAGACTGCTTCAGCTCATAATGTAAGCAAGGGTCCTTTTCATGGTCTATTTACTCTCATATTTTTCACATTTTCTACTTTTTTGGGTGATAGCCCCCAGCCATAGTGCTGAAGCGCTGTCTAGTGTGCTTCTCAGTACAAAAGGCCATAAAGTTTGTTAAATTGTGAGTTCAGTGTGACTGAAGCAATAGCATATAAACATATTAAATAAGATTATCTGTCAACAGGAGCACAGACAAAACAAAGTTGATGAAAAAGTTACCAAAGAATCACAGGAGCCTAATCCTACAGCATAAGGACAGTGTTTGTGACTGGTTTAGAGAAGATAATTATATATGTATATATATATATACACACACACACATATATATATACAGTAGAACATAGCCATCATAAATTGATGAAAACTGACTGAACTTTAGATGTTCTAAAATGATTAAATTTGATTGAATAATAGTTTTTAAAAGAAGAAAATGTTAAAATACTATGAACATAGACATATAATTTATTAATCTATTGAAATACTGGCCTGATTATATACCAAGACACCTGGGGATATGTACATATTCTGCCTTCAATTTAGATTCAGCTGTTTTTTTGATGCAGACAAAATTTCCTTCAATAAGCTTTTACAGTTTGTTTATCCCCTTTGCTTTTAGGTTTACGAAAATTCTTTTCTATCAAAAGTATAGATGCATATGTATCTATGTTTTCCTAATGATTTCATTTTATTTTATTTACACATTAGAAAGCTAACACATGCACTTATAAGTATTTACAAGTACTTTTTCTAGTGTTTGGTCGACTTATCCATATGTGATATGTATATGATCAGTTTCACAACTAAATTAAAACACTGATCACATACCAAGTTTTTAATGTATATGGCGTGAGAAGTTGGGCTAGTCAATTTTCCTGTATCTTACATATTTTTTCTTATGTCAAAATTATACTTTTATTTAAAGTTTAATTCACTACTAAGACAATTTCCCACAAAGACCATAGAAATAATGCTTTATACTTGTTGATCAGTATATACAAAAAGTAAGACACAATAGGTTAAAGATTAAAAGCTAATTTGCCTCCACAGTATGATCAGAGTGTGTTTTTGATACCTATTATACAAAGCAGTGCAGGCATTAGACATTAAAAGTGGTCATAAACAGGCCTTCCCTGGTGGCACAACGGGTTAGGACACAGCATTGCAAGCCAGCCACAGCCGCTTCTGTGCAAATTCGATCCCTGCCCCAGAGGTGACCTACACGGTGCAGCAGACCTCTCCTGACTCGCACGCTGCTCTCCTCAGCAGTTTACTTTGCCAGTCTGTCTGTTTTGCTCCCCACTGTCTCTGGTGAATCCTCTCACCCCCCTCCCCCTTGTACCTCTGGCCCGTACAACATGGCCTGTACCCCAGTTCTGTATGCATAAATAAATAAATCTTTAAAAAAAAAAAAGTGGGGCCCTCCCCGGTGGTGCAGTGGGTTAGGATTCAGCACTGCAAACTTGCTGCAGCTGCTTCAGTGAGAGTTCAATCCCCGGCCCCAGAGGTGACCCACATGGCACAGCAGCCCTCTCCTGCCTTGCCTGCTGCTCCCTTCAGCAGTGTACTTCGTTGATCTGCCTGTTCTGCTCCCCACTCTGTCTCTGTTGAAGCTTCTCACTGCCCCCTTCACCTCTGGCCTATACCCCAGGTATGTATGAATAAATAAATCTTTAAAAAAAAAAAGTGGTCATAAACAAAAAGCACAAATGTCAAATGTTGCCGGTGTTTGTTTAATGATTAACAAGGTTGCTTACCAATTCTGGAAGTGGACAGATAGTTCCAGTATTCATATACAACCCTTCCACTACAATGAAACGTCGAGTCACACGAGCCTTTCGAGGATTCTTTAAAAAGATAAAAAGTCGCATTTTAATTTTTGTAACTCTAAATGCAAAAATGTGTCCTTAAATACTTTCACCTGAAAGTATTTAGCTATCAAAGTCAAGTCTGAGTGCATTGAAACCGCAGGGTTTGAGATTCTGCTATTCTGAGATGAAGAACAGTGTGGTTTCTCCTCTTAAATATGACTTTTCAGTTCACATCAACTAGGCAACCTCACATACATACACACAGTTTAGGCACTAGGAGAGAATATTAAAATCCTCCAAGCCCAGAAAAATAGAAGGGGCCCAAAAATTTCTGGAGAGATAGGAATCTTTTATGTTATACAGTAGTCATGATACCTGGGTTATGTGGGTATAACCAATGATTCAACTTGTAATGGTTAGGATTTGTGCATTTCCGTGCCTGTAAATGTTATCTATGATAAAGAGGAACTCCAAGAGTAATGACAATTACCATCACCACAGAAGTAATAGGGAGTTAGGTGAAGGCTCAAAGGATCCAAGAAAGCAGATGATAAAAAAAAAGGCTGGGTGAAGAAAACAGGGACTATCACAGAATGTTTTCATAGAATGTGCTGGCAATTTTCTATAATAAGTTAAAAAATAAACAAACCCCTGTACTCCCTCATCTACCAAGAATCAGATAAAACACTTTTCCTTTATTACTCCTCACTACGAGGTCAAGTCAAACTCATGTAACCCATACCCAGATGTGCTGGAAGGCAGGGGAGGGACACCTCGCCAGCCCCACTGAGGGCCAGTCACTAATACACCACTCACCGCTAAAGAAATCTGTAGTGCAGCAGTGAGCTGGATCCAGTCTGCCACCACCTTACTACTCAAAGGTTGCTTAATTCTAATGGATAACTAGAAGCTCAAGTTTAGAGTTGAGATTTAAGAGGTATTTTAGAACCCACCTCAGTGAAGCTCAGGGAGTGAGCTTGAGGGTGTGGAGAAATGTTAATGTATACAGACAGCACTGAGTTTGTTCAGTCACCTTCACTCTCTTGTCATTAATTCAAACCTGAATGGCCTGGCAGGGGACATATGTGTCTGCTGGGCATGAAGGAGGACGGGGTAGAATCCTGTCTTTCCTTTCCTTTCCTTTTTCCTTTCCTTTCTCCTTTCCTTTCCTTTCAAAAATGAAGTACTTTTCTCATAACTTTAGAATGTTCAATGAAACAATTTTAGGGAATATAAAAGTACAAAAAAGAATTACATACATACTGATAGTTTAATAAATTTGTTCAAGTCAGGGTTTTAAGTTTATGATATGATAGTTTTTTAAAATGCTGTGAGCATTTCCACAATATTTAATCTTATTTAAAAGATGATTTTCATATAGATATAAAAATATTTTATGAATATACCATAAATTATTTAATTTTTACTCCATATGTTAGATTTAAGTTGTTTCCCTCATTTTGCTTATTACACTGCATTGTGAATAACCTTAAATCTGACACTTTTTTTGACTAATTTTTAAAGACCTAGGTTCAAGGCCTCCCTGGTAGCGCAGGGAGTCTCAGCATTATAAAGCTATTGCCAGCCACTACAGCATGAGTTTGATCCCAGGGAAGTGACCCACATGGCATAGCAGACCTACCCTATCTTGCTTGCTGCTCCCCTCTGCAGTGTATTTCAGTAGATCCGCCTGTTCTGCTCCCCACTCTATCTCTAGTGAATCTTCTCACCCCCACACCTGTGGCCTACACCCCAGTTCTTGTACGCATAAGTGAATCTTTAAAAATTTTTAAAAAGCAACAATAACACACACACACTAGACCTAGATTCATACCTAGGTCAAAAGGCATGGCTATTTAAGAATCCTGGAGTACAAGTGCCCATTTACCTTTTAGAAAGGTTGTGCCAATTCAAACTCTTCCAGTTACAGATCAGTCCTTTGCCTTGTAACAACTGACTAGCTCTGATTTTCACTATTAAAAAGTTCCTTAAATGGCCAGGAAAAAACCTATTTCTCTAACTTTTAGGGAGGCTAGTCTACTTTTCACTTGTTCCATTATTTGCACTTTTTCTTTAAACAGTGCTGTCTTTTTTTTAAAAGCATTAATACAGGACAAAAGAACACTACAAAACAGGATGAAAAATCATCTATGAAATGTAATACTCAGGAGAGTGATAATAAAATTTGACTATATTTTACTAAAATTTGAGTGATATTAAGTCTGGGCTAAACTGCAATATTTTAGTTTCAAATGAAAGATAAGTATCCAGTTTAATTTATAGAAAGTGAAACTGAAAAAAGAATTATTTTTAATATCAAAAATGCAGTAACTCAGAAAGTCTACTTATGTTAGGAAAACATGGTATAGATCAGTAGAAAGGTAAAAACTACAAAATGGAAATACCTATCAAGATGTTGAACTTTATTTCTTGTTATCTTTCATTAAGAAAGTTCCTTGGATTATAAGTTTTATAAGACACACACACACACCTTGAATATGTTTCCAAATTTGTACAATGCTAACTTGGCAAAATAAATTCTATAGCAGACTGTTTCACTGGTCACTCTTTCCAATGCACTGTTCTCTAGTAGCATTCTATTACTGACTCAGAATAAGGCACCTCTTTTTGCAATTTGTAGAAAGAATTTTCTCAGTGGAATGGATCTCAATATTAAGCATTACCCTCTAGATTTTTATAAATTGTGTAATGATGAAACACTGACCTACACATATCAGATATAAAATGTAAAATATGCAGACATACATATTTACCATGAGAATATGTATATGTATTAAGTACTGCCTTTAGACTGCCACCTACACAAAAATAACAGAATCCTCAAGGAAGAACGCAAATAGCAGAAAAATGGAAATTAACACAAACACAAGGAATGAGATGAGCAATTTAATCAGCTATTTTAGTAATGGGTGAGTTGCCCTGGAAAAGTCCACTTACAAGTGTTGTTTGAGACAAAGGATGTGACAGCCAGGTTCCCAGTATAGCCCATACATAATGGCCTCTGCTGAGACCCACAGACTGAATGACCTTTCCCACCCATGTCCTCAGGGTTTCAGATATGAAAATTCTAAATAATGCTCCAAACATGTTTCCCATTATACCTTCCAATCACAAAACCAAGGGGCAGTTCCACTAATCCCCAATGGCCCCCACCACCTGCCTCCCCCCCAGGAACTAAGAAGGTACTTGGGAAGAAATGTGAACAGGCTGCAGCTGGTTGAAAGCCATGCTGCCATGCTGAGACAGGGTTTTCCCACTGTCAGAGCTGCTCAGAGCTCCAGGATAAAAATTGGGGGGAAGGAGGAGAGGGAAAGAGTCTCACTTTGCTCATACGTTCATAAATGTATCTGCTGCCATTATTTCCTCTGGCTAATCAATACATGATTTACTATGATATGAATAAGCCTATCTGAAATTCACTAGGCAAGTCTCTAACATCTAATGAGTTCTGGTCTTATTTTAGAGTTGAGAGTCTCTATCTCTCAAGCCCCAAAGTGTGTGCTGTTTCTCTCTTTCTTTTAGAAAGTTGACTAGATCACCCTTCCCCGAATTTGCCATATATAATTATGGCATTGATGCGGCAATTATAATCAGACTTGGCTCTCCAACAAGAAGTACATTTAATAAGCAAGTACACCTTACTTAATATCCAAATATGATCCGCAGGCAAGTTTTTATGACAAATTATCATTTCATATATAATTTAGCTGGTTAGAAAGTACAAAAGAGGTATATAATTTTCTTCAAAAGAATCATACCTTTTGATCTTCAATCTCTTGTTCTTTTAGTAGTCGCTCCAGGTCAGCCATATCATTATGCTTAAATAACTTAATGTCACTACGTGATGCCTGTAATCCTTTCTGAATAGCAAAGCAGGCAGCTCTATCTCTGCAAGAAGACATAATCATCAAAATGAGGTTTAAAGGACCCTAAACTTCTCAGAAAAGGAATCCTTGTTTTTGTAAAATGACCAATACTTATTTGCTAACTTTACACAGTAAGTACATGAAAACATATTTGAACATTTATAAAACAATGCTTTTGCTTCATCCCATGTTTCAATTCTGTTCCAGGAAGCATATTCTGGTCACATTTCACCCTCTCAAAAATTATCACTCATCTTAGTAAGGTGATCACATCGGGTTTACTCTCAGCAACTTCTAAGACATACGGCAATAGGGCATCTCTGTTCGACAGCTCTGCCATCATTTTGCCACGAGAAGCAATACATGATTGACTACATAACCCAGGGGAGAATTCTGGGTCCTGGAGATTCAAATCCAGTAAAAATCTTTTCAATTGGGCTAATTATGGGAGAGATTTTTTTTTTAATTAAAGTTATATCATTTAAAAGCAAGAGTCTGATCCCCGGCCAGGGAGCTAACCCACACAGCACAGCAGACCTCTCTTGACTCACCCGCTGCTCCCTTTTGTGTATTACAGTAGATCTGCCTGTTCTCCCCACTCTGTTTCTGGTGAATCCTCTCATTGTGCACACCTTTGGCCTGTGCCCCAGTTCTAGTATGCATAAATAAATAAATCTTTTTTAAAAGTATATGGCATTACAAGAAAAGACAGATTAGCTAAGACCGTGAGAAATAAACATGAAATGTGCTCTACGGATTTTCCCAACTTGAGTTTATGAAGCTGGCAAAACTGGAAAAGCCAAGAGAGCACAGACAAAAAAGCTTTAACAAAAGTCTGTTCTTTCTGGCCAAGGTATAGGGAAGGGCAGCCCAGCAAAAAGAAATGGTTCTATCTCAGACTACAAAAACTTCGCCTATCACCTCCATACCAGCAAAGGCTAAGGAAGGACCAGACTCTGATCTTGCAAAGTTAAAACAAGGTTCTCCGAATGTCTCCCTGGGTGGTGCTGAGAAGAATACACGGAGCCCCAGCTTCTACCCCCCCCTTTACCCTCCCTCTCTCAGGCTGGGGTCTGGCAGAAGGACTCCGTGGAAAGCAGGATCTCACCAAGACCTAATAGAAATGTTTTAAAACACACCCCACCCCCACCAGGTGTCAATGGAGGCCAAATGTGGGGTCCTGGATTTGTACCTCCACCTGGCAGTGAAGAGGCAGCAGTGCCCCCTGCCTCTGTTAAAAGATTATTAGAGAAAGCCAATTAAAACAAGTTTAAATATAGACTAAAACAGCTCAATAGGGAAATTCCAGGTTTCAATCAAATATCACTGATCATACCAAGAGCCAAAAGATAACACTCAGAATGAAAGTAACCAACATATGCCAATACTGAGCTGACATATGTCAGCATTCCAATTTTAGAGCAGTCATGATAAAAAGTATCAATGAACAATTATGAACATGCTTGAATCAAATAAAAAACAGAAAGCCAGCAAAGAAACAGATAACAGATTGAAGAACAAAGTAACCATGAGAAAAACCTTAACAATAGGTTCTGCTGCAGAATGAAGAAAAAGAGAGGAAAGAGTCAGTGAATGAAAACATACAACAAGAGAGATAATTCAAGTAAACAACAGAGAGAGTAAAGACTAGGAAAAAAAGAACAGAGTCTCAGGGCCTCTCAGACTATCATAAAAGATGTGATATTCCTGTCAGTGCACTGCCAGCAAAGAGAAAGAAGGCAGAACTACAGGCATGGAAAGAAATGTTGGCTGATAATATTCCAAATTTGTAAGACGCTTCCACCTGTGGACTACAGAAATGAAATTCGAACAGGTAACCCCCAACAAATAAATGCCAAGACAATTACAGTCAAATATTCGAGAGCAAATAACAAAGAAATAAAAAAGCCTTCAAAGAGAAGGCTAAAAAGGGAATATACGGCCCTCCTTGGTGGCACAGCGGGTTAAAGCGCAGCACTGAAAAGCTAAAGCCACTTCCACATGAGTTCGATCCCCGCCTGCGCCGGAGATGACCACATGGCGTGGCAGACCTCTCCTGACCCGCCCGCTGCTCCCCTCAGCAGTGTACTTCGTCGACCTGCCTGTTCTGCTCCCCACTCTGGCTCTGATGAAGCCTCTCGCTGCCCCTGAGCCTCTGGCTTGTACCCCAGCTCAGTATGCACAAATAAATAAATCTTAAAAAAAAAAAGGAATATACTTTAAAGATTGCTACACATTTAATGGAACAATTCCATGAAAAACAAAACTACCTCAATGTAACCAATTAGGGTACAGATAATTTGAATAGACTTTAGTAAGGATATTGAATTCATAATTAAAATATGTCCCAAAATTAATTCTCCAAGCCCTGTGTATTTCACTGGACAATTCTACTTACAGAATTAATAATAATATTATACAATATCTCCAAAGAATAGAGTACTTTACAAATGATTTTATGAATTATTTTATTAACCTGGTACCAAAACCAGACAAAGTCCAACAAACAGCAAATATCATTAGCCACAAGGGGAGTGTAAATTAAAACTTCAAAGAGGCTATAATTAAAAATAACAACAACAAAAAAAAACAGTGAAAACCAAATATTCCTGAGGACGGGGAGTGACTGCATCCCTTAAACTATGCTGACAGTAAAAATACACTCTGGAAAAGAGTTCGGCAATTTCTTAATAAATTAAACCATCAATAATACCATGTGATCTAGCAATTGCACACCTTGCCATATATGTAGGGAACGGAAAATTTAGGGTCATGAACAAACCTATAAATGAATATTTATAATGAAGCTTTAATTGTAACAACTCAAAACAGAAAAACTCAGAAGTCCTTAACAGATGAAAGGTTCAATTGAAGTGCATCAGGGTGGAATAGAACCCAACAAATAAAACGAACAAATTCTTCATCTGCACAGCTTGGTTGAATAGCCAAGAAATTACTGCTTAATGAAAAAAGCCAGTTCTCAATTGTTACTTTCTGTATGATTACATTTGTATAGTAATCTTGACAAGACACAACTATAGAAATGGAGGACAGCTCAGAGGTTGGCAGAAGTGAAGGAGTGGGCAGGGCGGAAGAGATGTAGTGTGGAAGCAGGCAGGAACCTTGTGGTGATGGAAATGTCCTGAGCCTTATATCAATGTCAACATCACAGCTGTGAAACTGTGTTCTTTTTTACCTCCAATACGCCTCCTTTAAAGTGAATTTCTCATATGATATTTAAAATTACGTAGAAAAGAATAGCTGTCTACAGACTCTAGAAAATGAAGTTTTAAGACACTAGGCATAGCATTTACCAGTGAATTTAGCCTGAGCTTCAAGCAGTAAGTCTAGAGGGCAATATAGTATTTATTATCTCAAAAAGGAAAGCACAGTGGGTACTTGTATACAGCGACAATGAATGACAAGGTGGTTGTGGGTACAATGCTATTACTAAAACCCAGAAATATTGTTTAAATTAATTGCTCTTGGGCATCCCTGGTGGTGCACTGGATTAAGCCACAGCACTGTGAAGCTATCTGCAGCCACTGCAATGGGAGTTTGATCCCCAGACAGGGAAGGGACCCACATGATGCAGCAGACCTCTCCTGTTTTGCTTGCTGCTTCCCTCAACAGTATATTTCAGTCAATCTGCCTGTTCTGTCCCAACTCTGTCTCTGTTGGATCCTTTCACCTTCCCATATCTGTGGCTGCACCCCAGCTCTCATATGCATAAATAAGTAAATCTTTAAAATAAACTAGTGCCTCTCAATTTAGTGTTGAGTCTTATTACTTGATTTTTCTAACCATTCTAATGGTCATATGAGGAAACAGTAGCACTCAGGCCAGGCTGTGTGATGGTTGCTTCCAGGTTGTTCAGGGAAGGAGAGGCCACATATACCTTAAAACACCAGGTACAGCCAGCCCTGCGCGAGTAACCTGAGCTTGCTGCACGAGTAGCAGCCCCACCTTGAGTGAGAAGTAGCCGAATAGTGCAGAGACCAAGTAAGCCAGGGTCCCCTCTTTCAGTTCCCTCCTCCATCTATTAATTTACTGAACTAGTACTTATAGAGCACTACTACACAGCAAAACTGTTGGAGGCAATGGACTACTATAAACTGTGGCAAGTGCCATAAAAGGACAGTGTGTCTGAGGCAAGACGAGCAGAGGACAGAATGTGACTGCGTGTGTGTGCACACAATTGCAGGCAAGCAGGTTTAAGAAGAGTGACTCTGAAGGGAAGGATGAGGGCCCACATGATTACAGATCCACAAAGACACCCAATTACTTAGACATAAGGGTTTTCCTCTATGCAGCAGAGTCTAGGCCTGATGTGAGAGGTTGGGGAAGGTTTCCTGCAGAGCTGGTACATGTGTAGCATCAGCAGAATGAGCAGGAATTAAACAGATGAAAGGAAGAAAAAGGACTAAGGACTAGCAAGTGCAAAGAGCCTGAGCGGGGAGGAAATTAGCATAGAAGGCTGCTGAGGCAACAGTGTGAGTACCTGAGGAAAATTGCACAGATGAGCTTTAAAGTGTACTCTAAAAGGCCCTAGATCATAAGAGCCTGTAAATTTACTTTAGGAAGAAAGGAAGCGGAGAAATGACCAGATTTATGTTGAAAAATATTCTGATTATGGTGTGAAAAAGGAAAAGAGAAAACAAACATCTGATAAAATTAAGAGTCACCTAATAGTCCATTCAAAAAAGAGGCTTGGGTTAGAGACAAGTGTTTCTGACAGCACAACCAGCTGCCTGTCTTCCCCACCCCTCGCTCTGCTCCACAGCCCACTGTGCCCCCGACAGTAAATGGCAGCACCATGAACCCAGTAGGCGCCATGCTAACACAGATCTGTTTGGGAGAAGCTAAGGAAGCCCTCAACTCATGGCTTCTATGTTCTAGTATGCCAGGACGCAACATCTGCTGAGAGCAGGAGCCTGAGTGGGGGTGCTGCAGAGAGTGCATTCCCCAGGTAGTGTGCATGACCACAAAGGTGGTGACCAGACTCAGGAGGATACCAGACTGTCACAGAGCTGCTGATGGAGGTGGATGGCTAAGCTTGGCATTCTCAACATCAGCAAGTACAATCACAATGGCTGATAACCAAGTGCCGACACCTCCACACATTATTTTACAGGAGGTCTCAGATTCTGTCGAAATACTTGGCTTGAGTAACTTACATGTTCTTCGGAAAACAAATAAATAAAATCATTTTAGGACGGTAACTTCTAACTAAGGCATTCTCTAGGAGGTGTAGGAGGGTGGTCAACAGTATTTCCAAAGAAATTTTGCTTAGAGTTATAGGGCAAGGTCACTTACACAAACACAATGTCTCCTCTCTTAGAGTAGGCAGGAATAGCACTGGCTATAGTGGCAAATCCATATGAGTATATAATTGCTTCTTCTGTCTTCATAAATTTTGCCAGGCGGTCTTCCAAATCCAAGTGGACATCTATTTCAGTAATAAAAAGTTAAATGGTTATACTGTCTTACGATTCATTCTTCATTAAAGAATAAAGAAAGAAAGTAAAACAAGCAGTTTGGTTATTCATACTTTCCGCTTTGGCCAAAAGGCAAATGTTTTACAAATTACGTAAGCTCTATTAAGATAATTTTGGGCCCAACCTATTTCCAAAGCCTGTGAACTGAATCGGTTACACAACTGTCTATACAAGCCTACAGGGGTAACTCCAGCTCTGGGTTTTGTTTTCGTCACAATCACCAGAGTTCAAGGTCCAGTGACTTTGTCTGCTTTAACTTCCCTCAACCAACAAGGCTGAGGATTTACCGATTTTATTAATGGCTTTTCACATTTTAGCAGAAGGGACCAAAAGGACCAAAAAGGCACTAAGAAAATTCTTTTTAAAAGGAAAGAAAGAAAAAGGAAAGCAATCAACTTAAGCAGAACCTCACATACTTTGAGTGAAGACTTTGAACAGAGGCGGTCACACCTCCAGTCTGTGTCGGCACTTGCTTGTGGCACCTGCCTTTTCTGTGCAGGACTGAGTTTTGTTTGAATCTTTCAATGTATTGGGGAATCAAATTTACAGCACAAAGAGAAATGTGGCCCTTTTACAGAAGCAGCTTAAGAATACTGATATAATAATGAGGATAAATTGTAACTGTTCAAGCTGATTTTTTCCCTCTTACATCATTGCTAATTAGTCACTGACCTCTCCAGGTTAAGTTCTAAGGCTTTAGTTCCTGGGAAGGAGGGACCAGTGATTTCTAGAACAGCCCGCTAACTGGCTGTGAACTGGAAAGCTTCCAAATAGTCTTAAAGTGAAGAACTACCCAAGGGAAAAAGCGATTTTTCTCTTTTAATTATTCCGAGACTAGCTGGAGAACTGGATGACAGCATTCTCAGATACCTTGTCCAAAGCAAATCAAGCAGCTACAGGAAGGATGCAGCTAGGATGTCCATGCCTTAGAGCTTTCTGGGAAGTAGGAAATCAAAGGCAGTATAGTCAGATTTGAGGCCCTGAAAGGGAAGCTGCGGAATGTCCACTGAGGGGAATGCTGAAGTCCAGGCAAGCCCAAGTCCAGGGCGGGGTGGTGTGTGCCAAGTGGCAGGACCCACCAAGGGGGACGGCTCCATGACCACCAGCTTTGGCTGGCTTCAGCAACAGGCTTCATTTCAGGAGCAGCCAGCACCTCCCTCTAGATGCCAGGGAAGACAGGCCCTGCACTGCCTTACTTCCCTGTCCCAGGGACAGGCAAGCCCCTCAGCCTAGGAGACCCCTGGGAGAAGGAGGTGAGGGAGGAGAACTAAAAGATTGAGATACACAAGAGACCACTTAACCCATGTAGGTACAGAATTGAATGTGAGTAGACTAAATATTTCTATGTTAAGTCACAGAGACACAGTGACATATTTTAATTGTTAAGGGTAAGACTTCTATCACCTTCCAAGGAGGTTGGTAGACGAAATAAAGTAACAAATTCTTGGAACATCTGAACTGAGGATCTAAAAAGTGTTAACTCTGACTCACTGATTTATTAGAGGCACAGACTAATCTTATTGTGATGTTATCTAATTAGCAAAAGGCGAAATTAAAAATTATAAAAGTTGGGTCTTCCTGGTGGTACAGAGATTAAAATAACACTATTAAGCTATCACCATCACTGAGGCAAGAGTTCAACCCTCAGAAAGAGAGCTGACCTTCATGGCACAGCAGATCTCTCCCGTCTTGCCCGCTCCTCCCCTCAGCAGTGTATTTCAGTAGATCTGCCTGTTCTGCTCCCCACTCTGTCTCCCCACTCCTCTCATTCTCCGCACCTTTGGCCTATAACCCAAGTCCTTGTATCCACAAGTAAATAAAGATAAATCTTTTTAAAAAGTTATAAAAGCTATAACTTCACAAATAACTATATTTTAAAAGAAGCAGTTAGTTGAGGGTGGTCCAACAATTTTCCCAGTGCAGTCATTTGTTAATCAAACATTCAGTAAATATTACACACAGACAGATACTCTGATAAATACGGCACCAGGAAGAAAAATAAGCTTTCTGTCATTAGACAAAGAGACACAGGTCTGACAGGCTTGTGGCAGCAGTCACTAGAAAGCCCAAAGAGAGGCTAAGCTGAGTCTCTGGTCTGCTGGTCTGAAGCTCTTGAGTCCCTCCTTTACCCTAAATGCATAGCACTCAAAAGCAGAGAATAGTTTTTTATCTTAAACCCAAGATGGAAGAGGGTGACTCCTGGGGGAGACAGGGGAAGATCCCCCTCATCTAAGTGAAACTCCAATTTGATGTGCTCGCAGAAACAGGAATCAGGGCACTGAGTAGCAATATCCAGCTAAGTCCTACAGACTTAGCTCCAAGTGACTCCTCACTGATTGGTGATGAGATGAGAAAAAGTAAACTGAAGCCCACTTTAAATACAGATTTCTTAAAGATATTATAGAACTGTCAAAATGAAATATTTAAACCTTTCACTTAAGTAGTGATAAAATACTAAGCATGCCTTTTCCTATTTGTAAGTCAAAACTCATACCAACAGTCCAGTATCATAGAAAACACATATGGACTACTTGATTTCTGTCACCAATTGGTTAGCCATTTTATTTTCATTTTAAAATGAAAAATTTTACAAAAACAAGGGTTATTTAAGAATAGATCCAGTTCATCAAAATGGGTACCTAAAGGGGAGTTTAGCAGTCCAAGCGTCACATCTACATTGCCACAAGGCGAGTCCTGCAGCACCACTTGGCCCTGTACCTGTGTGCTCACTCTTGCAAGAGAGATGCTGCCAGTGTAAAGCTTCAGCAAAGCCTGGCAACAAAGAGGACCCAGCCTCCCAAGCAGCTGAGCAAGGGTGCGCCTCCCTGTCCTCCTCCTCAGTGTTCTGGAGTGCTCTCCCACAACCCTCATCATGCTGCTGCCCCTCACTTCCCATCAGGTGGTCAGGTGTGAGGGCAGGTCCTCTGTAGGAGTTACAGGTAATTCCCCTGTAACAGTGCCTCTAAACTGGGCAAACCACCACCAAATCAGCCAGCACACTGACAACCTAGGCCACTGGTGAACTGCTTTCAGTCAGTATCTCTATGTTAAAAAGAAAAACCTGCTATGGATACAACTTTTGCCAACTGAGAAAGGGACTGTAAATCATCCTATAGACTTAGCTCCAAGTGACTCCTCACTGACTGGTGATGAGATGAGAAAACAATCTTCTTTGTTTCAGGGGCCTCAGTTTGCTAGAGTAAGTTAGTTTTTCCTAGATGTTGAAAAGTGTTATGGGAGGAGACTTATTATTATAGACACTCATAACCATCTTTTTTTTTAAAGATTTATTTGTACATACAGAACTGGGGTACAGGCCAGAGATGCGGAGGGTAAGAGGATTCACCAGAGACAGAGTGGGGAGCAGAACAGGCAGAACGACAAAGTACACTGCTGAGGGGAGCAGAGGGCGGGTTAGGAGAGGTCTGCCGCCATGTGGTCACCTCCGGGGCAGGCGGGAATCGAACTCATGCGGAAGTGGCTTTAGATTCTCAGTGCAGTGCTTTAACCCGCTGCGCCACCAGGGAGGGCCCTCATAACCATTTTTATACTGATTCACGAATGTGGTAAAAAAGAACCTCTGTGCAATGAATTAGTGACTAATTGGTTCTTTCCAAGTTCCAAAAGTTTAAAAAGGACTGAACTTTTCTTCTTACAGGTACACACTGGGTTTTGGCTAGTGTTAGGCTTGCAAAGCTGGTTTTGTGACAGGTAATTAAGGATCACTGTGCAACTTCTCTTGATGTAAGATAGATACTCTACGCAGTGAAGAAACTCTCAGATCAAGGGAGGGAAGCTAGTCAACAGGAAAACTGCCAGGGCATGTCCTGACTTTTGACATCTGCATCTTCTGTGTATGATCCTTTTCACCGACTGGGGTCATGGATTTGTATGGGTTAAAAGTAACCCAGGACCTCCTCTGATTCACAGTAGGAACAAATGGGGGGGTCGGGGGGGGGGGGAGAAACCACACAGGCAGGAGGCAGAAAGTCCTTTCACTGTTTGCTCTCCTGTCTGGTACTTACTCCCTCACCAGAACTAAGACAGGAGGTAGGGCCAGTGCAGGCCCGCCCAGCACCAGCACAGGGCCTGGCCACAGTGCACCACAGTGCTCAGCCCTCGGTTGCCTCGCTACCAGAGGTATCTCTGGACAGGCCTGAAACTATTCTGTGTCTCTCAGGTCCTTCTATGAAAAAGGTAACAGTTGCACCTGTCTCAAAAATTGGTAGGAGGCCTACACAAGTTAATGCTCCTCTGACACAACAGTGTCTGGCAAGGAAGGCCATATATATTTATTTCCCTTCAGACTTAAACAGGGTTTCGCATTAGGACATAAATAAAAGCTGAAAGCTGTGTTTTTCAAAATGTTTCACATTTAGCATCTTATATGCTCCTTACCAAAATGTTTTAAGCTGTGTCAAGAAGGGCAGCTCCCTTCCCACACCCATGAAAACTGGAATCCATGACGGGTGGGAGGAAGTGGCAGATCTAGGAACTTTATGATCAATTTCTCTTCCTACTCTAAGTAGGAATGCAGTCATGGTTCAGTTGACTGCTCTAAAACAAAGAAAGAAAATATTTGTAAAAATAAACAAGTGAATAACTGTTTACTATTGGCTCTAGAACACAATTAAATGCCACTCTCTCTCTCACCATGAAACCTTGTCATGAATTGTTTTCTCCTCTAGTTTAAACAGCCAAGTATGCAATAAACATGATATGCTCAGCCACAGGTAAACAAAACCTGAATGGATTAAAATCAATGCATAATAACTAAGAAACTCAACAATAGAAAGTCTTAACCAGACTGAGAGGAAAGGAAGGCTGGCATGGTGAAGATCACTCATGTTAAACAATACAAGAAGGAAAACTTTGGATCACAGTCCTTTTGAGACTATTAACACAAATTGTTCAGTTCTACCTGCCCAGACTTTAAAAAGTAAGAGACATTTAGCTCGGGAGATGGAATGAAGCATAACTCAAAATTTGCTTTTGCTACATTATTCATCTAATATACTACCATGAGATAATGAAGAGAATGATCTAAAAAGGAAATTTGCTTTTACAGCAAGCATACTATATTCATTACCTGAAAAACTGAGTAAAGAGCTAGAAGGAGTATTTCTCTCTTTAAACACAGATGCTTAAATGAGATACTTCCAGAAGAAAGAAAAAAAAAGAGAGACAAATTTGAAAGCACCTTTCTGAGGGCTCAGGGAAAGAGATCCCAGTCCTTAAAGCAAACAATTCACACACATATACAAGTGACTTCAAGCAAGAGGAAAGGTCCTCCTATCTGCTTTACAGTTCAGAGTTAAAGGCGAATGCACTCTAAGTGTCCAGAAAAAATTGATTATAAGAGTACTTTAGAAATTTAAAATATAGCCTTAGTTGACCCTGAGTAGCTTCTCTTTTCTTATCAAACACTGAAATTTCAAGGTAAATTAATGTAACAACAGTAATTTAAGGAATTACTTCTAGGATAAGAAAAATATCAAAAAACATTACACTGTAGGTTTGGTATCTTGTTACAAAACGATCACATGCAAGTTAACCCACAACCTCCATCCAGATGCCATAGTCTTCAACTATAGTCAAGTCAAAGATGTACCAATGACCCTTAAAGCTGTTTACAGAAGGGTTGATACGCAACTTATCTGTTCAATATAATCTCTCTGGTGGTTCATCCAGAATCTTAAAGATCAAACCCAATTTAAATTCAAAACATTTGCTCCAACTCCAAGAACATAACATGTGTACAGTATGCTATCATTTTTGTCAAAATGGAGGGGGGAATATATACACAACAGTAGTTGGCATGTCTTTAAAAAAAAGTCTCAGAAGAATTAATAAGAAACTACTGATAGCGGTCTTTAGGAGTAACAGGAATAGGGGATCGGGGTGTCTGTAGGGAAAAGACTTTTCATTCTCTATTGTTAAAATTGTTGAAGTTTATATCATGAACTGAATTAATTAAAAGCCATTAATTTAGGGCCCTCCCTGGTGGTGCAGCTGGGTAAAGCACAGCACTATGAAGCCAAAGTCACTCCAGCATGAGTTTGATCCCCCGGCTGCCCCGAAGGTGATCCACATGGCACGGCACGGCAGACCTCTCCTGACCCGCCTGCTGCTCCCCTCAGCAGTGTACTTCATCAATCTGCCTGTTCTGCTCCCCACACTGTCTCTGGTGAATCCTCTCACTGCCCCTGCACCTCTGGCCTGTATGCATAAATAAATACATCTTCAAAAAAAAAAAAGCCATTAATCTAAAGACGTGGTGTCTGGAAGGACATAGCACATGATATGCACTTCAGGTAATTGCCCTATTTAACAATACATTTCCACAACTCTCGGAAAACTGGTTTAGAAATCTGAAACAGTTTTTCTTTTTTCCCCCCACAACTTGATTTAGCAATAAATCTCTCATCTGTCTGCTCAGCTTAACTCCCAAGCAGGGGCCAAGGTCACACATGCAAATCAACTCCACTAGAAAGAAGGCTTTTAAGAAATCAGTTTATTTACCCCAGCAAGTAGATCATAGAAAGAAAACATTGCTGATCAGATAACAGGCAACCTCATAAAAAATGCCTTTCCTTGTTTTCTCAAACTTACAAGGAAATCTTCCCCCACCAATAAAAACCAAGCAAACAAACCTTGTTTACAATAGGCCAGAGTGAAGAGGGAGACCCTGATCTGAGCTTTTTTAAGTCTTTGATCTTGACAGTAAAACCAGGAATAGGAGTACCTGGTTTCTAGTTTTAAGGCAGAAATTACCAAACTGTAACTGTAGGAAAGTCGCTCAACCTCTCTGTGCTTGCTCTCTCAGCTGAACAGCTGGGATGCTAGAATACAAGATTTTTAAGATCCTTTCCTGCTACAGAATTCTCATACACTAAGAATTCTCATACACTAATCCTGTCATCTACTCCCGATACAAATAATTTAACCAGGAAAACTAGCTATGGAATAAAGAAAGTTACTCCCTTTAATAAAACATCTTACCTGTTATGGTGAAAAAAACACAAAGACCAAGAGATGGAAATGAAAAGACAGCAAAAACTTCCACTCTACTTTCCCACGTGTCACATTTTACATTCTGTAAGCCAGAATGTTTATTCAGGTAATATAGCCACTTGAGCAATTACTTAATGACAATTTTGTAATTTTCAGATGCAAAAAATACATAACAAAACCCACAAAAAGCTAGAGCTGTTTTCCATGACTCTGAGGTGAGGAGTTCATTGTGTTTGCAATCACACACTAATCACAGTATTACTAAGCCTGTCCCAGGTCATCCGCACATAAGCAAATCAATAATCCTTGTACAGAAAGAGCTATGTGGTCTCTAGCACCCCAGTCTATTCTCAGCCACTCCAGTCTCCTTTGTTTGCATCAAAGTATGGCCAGGGCTTGTCCTCACCAATGTGATGTAGGCAGAAGGACATCAACTCAACCCACATGCCTTTTAGGGACTCCTGTACCCCCATACCTATCATCTTCAGCCACACAAAGACGGCGCCCTTGGTATTACAGCAAGGAACTAGGGAAGATTCGATTCCTACACAACTACAGAGAGCAGTCTCCCACAGCCAAATCCTGCACCTTGTTACTCTCATGCGCTAGAGAAATAAACTAGGCCCTCACTCCACTGTCTCATGGTGTATACGCAACAGCAATTATGAGTCCCCTTCCTGAGACAGTGCACCTGAGGTTCTTACAACTCTTCTCCACAGGTGACATTCAACTTGAGACTAATACATCTCTCCTAGATGGTTCCAAATGTGATGTTTTAGAAAGTGAGATAAAGAGACCCAGCGAAAGGTAACAGGCCCCATTAAGAGATGAGCCTTTCCGGAACACCTGAGCACCCCCAGGCAGGCACCTTTAGCTTTTGCACCCAACCAGATTGCCTTCAGACTCATTCTTCAGAAATTTCACTAGTGTCCCAGGCTCTTCAACCAAGCAGAAAGTAGATAAGGCAGCTTTGATTAAAGATGACTTCCTTGATTAATCAATAAATTCAACTTTCTAAAAGACGTGAAGAAACAGTGTCACAAAGAATAATGTTACTTCAACAAAGGGAGAGTAAATTTGGAGATCAAAACAAGGGAAGGATACAAGCAGCTGAGACAGCTTGTCAAAGGAACCTTTGTGTCAAAGGATATAGAAACAGCAAAAGAGTCTTTCCAGACTAGGATTCACCCTCTTTTACCACTAGAGGTTATTTCCCTGAGACTCTTTACTGCACATCAGTAGAAGAATATATTCTCAAGTGGGAACACTTTCTTTTAGGAAGAACCCATTTCCTATTGGTTTACAAACCTATTGGTGCAGAGAATCAAAATGAAGCAAAATATACTGTTTAAAATAAAGCATAGCATAATTTCTCATGCTATTTCAAAAACCCTGTTTCGTAAATTGGTACTTTAAGGAACACACAGGTCACTTCAGAGATTTAGAAACTGAGTATGTTCATATCATCTCATGACCTCACAATGACAATGAAGATAACAGGAAGCTACTGGTACATCTCAGGTTATCACTTAAAGACCTACCACCATTTCCAGGGCATGAATCTGCTTTCTACAAAACCGATGATGTTAGGAAACTAATACTGAAAAGTAGATGGCTTGTTAAATTAGGAAATGAGAGGAAAAAAAAAAAAAAGAAAAACAAAGTGAGGTAATAAGTAGCACACAGCATAATACCACCACGAATCACAGGTATCTTGTTCAAGGAGCTCTAAAATAAAACTAAATCTTAATTTTTCAAAGTAGCAGTCTGTAAAGAAAATGAAACGTACCAAATGTGCCATAAAATCCTCTAGGTCCACACGTCCCCACACCGTACTTCTTTAGAGATGCCAAAGCTGCTGCCTTTGTGGAAGTACAAACAGAAGATAATAATTTTTCTTAAAGAGTTTGAAGCTGACCATTCCCTATTTTTTAACCCACAGCTCTTTCTCCCCTCCCTCCCTCTACTTGCCCTCCTGTCTTAGTACTATGCCAATTTTATTTTTACATTTAGAACAGGTTTTGAGGAAAAGGAGAAAGGAAAAAAAGAGGCACCTGCAAAGACACAGATGGACAGAGAGCTGCTGTGACTGCGGCTGCTTTTCCAAGGGAAAGGTCTATTAAGAGAGACGCCTGCAGAGACACGGGCAGGCTGCCGGTACCAGGACAGTCTCACAGGATATACAGGAAAGCAGGCACAAAGACTCAGATAAAAGCCTTAAAATATGGGAAAATTTTAAGAGCTCAATGCTCAAAACCTGGGTGCCTCAATGCCTTTATATTCTGTTGCGTTTAATGCCATAAATCTATCCTCAACAATGTGTCCAGCCCACAATCCCGATGGGATTTCCTCAATATGTCTGACTACTGCCCAGGTCTGGTTCATTGAAAGCCAGGTTTTCAACTCTGTCATAAAAAAGTAAATACCTTCTATAGCTCTTTCTGACATTCTACATTTGTGTTCATGTTCAGTGTCATAAATCAGCCACGCTGTCTGCCGACTTTAACATATATAATACTTACCTTAACCCGAGGGTTATCCAACAATCCAAGAAAATTAAAGGAGGCAAAGTTTATACATTCTTGTCCATTCACCACAATGTTGTGGCTTGGAGGGCTAGGGAAGAGGGGCAAGAAAAGCATCACTGTACAGGACACATGCGCAAGAATGTTACCCTAGTTGTATTCTAACTAGCTGCATAGCAGTCTCTTCGTTCTTACTTTTAAAAAGTAAATGTAAATAATGATATATTAAAAAAAAAAAAAAAAACCAGATAGTCATTACTTCTAACCTTAATGAGTTTCCTAAAGGGAAAAAAAAAGCTAAGATTCCCAGATGGGGAAAAGTATTTACTTTGGTTTTAAACTCCCTTAAGAACTAAGTAGCTAAGTAAAGTGCCTCAGTGCCTCAGGGAAAAAAAAATTGAGACAAAGAGGGAGGAAATAATAAAAAGATTAGGATCAAAGGCAGAATAAATTATGATCCTGTACAGTTAAGCAGTTTACAAATAGATCTTATTTATAGGAAGGTACTAACAAGTGGGATATGTTCCCAATTTCTAAAGTTAAATAAATGGAAAGCTATTTAAGAGGCACAACCTCCTGGCCTCTTGGAGACGGGGAAGAACTAGGTTGGCAGCTGCACAGGACCCTGGACTAAATTTGGTGTGGACAAGAGATGGGCCTTCCTTTGCTGGCAAACCCTCTAGCTATAGGTTACACTTCAAAACCAGAGAATCACACCATGGGACGTGAATGAAACAGTTCAGTAAGCCACAAAGGCCACTTTAACTAAAGGAAAATATAAGAATAGAATGAAATAGAAAATACCAGAGGGCATCACCTAGGGGAAGGAGAAGGACCATGGCACAGAACATGTTTCAGTGGCATACAGGCAGTGGTCTATGTACTGGGCAGCAAAAAATATACTGCAGTTAGGAAATTTAAGAAAACCACTTTCACTGGTATGTTTTAACACAACTGGTATTCTATTGAGAAAAATTAAAAAAAAGATGCTGAGAAACAAGGAAAGAAAAAGAAAGACCATAAAAGCAGATTAACTCATTTAAAAAAAAAAAATCAAGAAAACAGTAGTTGTAGATAAATTTGCATTCTTTCATCTACAAGAAAGAGAAAAAACCCACCTTTTAGGTGACTGTCATTACCTATGCCTGGCCCAAAAGTGCTCTCTAAATTATGTAGTACATAGGGCATTGATGTATAACTACATACACCTAAAACTTTACATAAAGTTATAATGCAATGTTACTGAAAATAACAAATAGGGCTTCCCACATGGCCCAAGGAGTTAAGTCTCAGCATTATGAAGCTGTCCACAACCACTGCAATACAAGTTCAATCTCTGGCCAGGAAGGTGGCCCACATGGTGCAGACCTCTCCTGTCTTACACACTGCTCCCCTCAGCACTGTATTTCAGTCAATCTGCCTGCTCTGCTCCCCACTCTGTCTCTGGTGTCTCTGTCCTCACCCCCTACATCTCTGGCCTGTACCCAGTTCTTGTATGCATACATAAATCAATCTTTAAAAAAGAAAATAACTATTTTCTTCCTTCTGGCTATATGTACAAGGGATTCTCTTTCAAACCCATCATCACTCACCTTTTCTTTTTACCCACTGTTACCCTGAATCCACTGTGTCATTTAGTTTCTATTTCTTGGGACTTCAGCAAGAGAGTCCATGCCTCTCTGACATGAGGGTACTGGCAGTTCACAAAAAGGTTAAAGAACAAAAATACCTACACAGCCAAGCTTGTACTAGGAGTTGCTGCTGTGAAAATCAAGGCCATTCTACAAAAACAGGAACACATAAATCAAACTATCAGAATAATAATACCCAAAGCCCATGACCCCAGTCAACATGCTAGCCAGAGGCACATGACATGGGGAAGGAGGGATCTTGTTTTGTTCAGCACATGGAGCAAGAAGGAAGATTCCAGTGAGAAATGGAAGGTTCATACTGTGCTCTGTGTAGACTCAGGTTAATAAATCATATTGGGCACCTGACACAAGAATTCTGGAACATCAGACCCTTGGGGTCCCTCATAGAAGCAAATAAAATCAATCAAGAGAGACCTCTCTGGGCCCTCCCTGGTGGTGCAATGGGTTAAAGCACAGCATTATGAAGTTTGCTGCAGCTGTTTGGTGCAAGTTCAATCCCAGTCCCAGGAGGTGACCCATGGCGCAGCAGAACTCTCCTGTCTTGCCCACTGCTCCCCTCAGCAGTGTACTTTGTTGATCTATATATTCTGCTCCCCACTTTGTCTCTGGTGAGTCCTCTCACCACCCCTGCACCTCTGGTCTGTATCCCAGTTCTGTCTGAATAAATCAATCTTTAAAAAAAAAAAAAGGGCCCTCCCTGGTGGCGCAGCGGGTTAAAGCACTGCACTGAGAAGCTAAAGCCGCTTCCGCATGAGTTCAATCCCTGCCTGCCCCGGAGGTGACCACATGGTGAGGCAGACCGCTCCTGACCCGCCCGCTGCTCCCCTCAGCAGTGTACTGCCTGTTCTGTTCCCCGCTCTGTCTCTGGTGAAGCCTCTCGCTGCCCCTAAGCCTCTGGCCTGTACCCTAGTTCTGTATACACAAATAAATAAATCTTTAAAAAAAAAAAAAAAAGACATCTTCACAACTACAACCCTTTCCAATCAAAAATAGTTTAAAAAACTATTAGCAAACTAATTAGAGAAGGAAAGTTAAATGACCATTTTATTTGAATCAGAGAAAGATGTGATAAAATGTAATACTGGGGTTTAGAAAACTAATCAAGGTGGGGCCCCTGGTGGCCCATGAGTTAAGTCCCAGCACTACTGAGCTTTCACCAGTCACTTCACCATGAGTTTGATCCCTGATCACCAGCCAGGAAGGTGACCCACATGGCACAGCCAGGCTCTCCGATCTTACCCACTGCTCCACTCAGTAGTGTATTACAGTAGACTCACTTGTTCTGCTCCCTACTCTGTCTCTGGTGAGTCCTCTCACCCCCACACCTCTGGCCTACACTCCAGTTCTTATATGAATAAATAAATAAAACAAATTTTTAAAATAAATAAAACAGAAAACTAACCAAAAGAGAGCTCTCATTAAACTAGGAAGAGAAAAGAAAGGCCTATTAACTCAACAGACTCTTAAAAGACATCAGCAACATGACAGAGGCCCTTGTCATCACAGTTATTCAACACTGCACAGGATGTGTCTAGCCAGTGCAGTAACACAGAAACAGGAAGAAAAGGATGCTCCTCATGAAATAAATGAGAACTCTCTGGTATCTAGAGAACAAATCTATTCAGAGACATGATGAGGTACATGCTCTTGACATCTCTATTCAGAGACAGGCTGAGGTACAGTATGACAGTCCACAAGACTAACTTTTGGGGGAAATTGAAGAAAGATATGTGCAAGCTCTTTATTTCTTACCACTGCATGTGAAGCTATGATTATTTCAAAGTAAAATAGTAGGGGTGGGGGGTATAAGCAAAGTCTTTATGAAAAAAGTTAAAACTTTACTGTAGGATTTAAAAGTGCTAAGTACTAAGCAATGTATCAAATACAGAGTTGGTCAGACTTAGTACTAGCAAGATGCCAAATCAAGTTCCACACATTTCAAGTGAAAAATTTAAGCCCATTTTTGAATAAGATTTGACCAGCTAAATAAACCAAAAGTCAAGTAAAGAATAAAAATTTAAGAACTGTCAAGATGATTCTGAAGAACAAGGAGGTGAGGAAATCACTTGGGCCAAAGGCTATTATTAAATGGTGGTAGTGAATGGTAGTGAACTAAGTGAGGTTCTGGCACAGGGAGACAAAAACACCAAGAGTAACAACAAAGTCAAAACAGATGCTTCATAAAGTAACTTGGTATACAAAATAAGGGAAATTTCCAATCACTCTGGACTGATTCATCTAAGAATGTTGAGACAACTGATTATCATATGGAAAGTGGGCTCATTAGACCTTTAGGATACCAAAGGATTTCTATATCATAAGACCAATGATTAGTAAGTTTAATTTCAGGAAATAAAACTTTTTAAGAGCAAAGATGCCCACAGACCTGAAAGATTCAAAGACTCTCTCAGATCAGACCAGAAGTACAATATGCTCAGGAGAATACTCTGTATCACAATTTTAAAGAAAATAGTAAAGATTTTCATGGCAACAGGCATACATGATAAAAACGTAAGTTTAAGCAAAGGAAAACCATTCACCAAGTAGCTATCCTGTGTGAGAGGCAAATCTAAGTGAACAATGCGAAGAAGGTTCTTTTGGCTATATTTATATTTATTTCTTTTAAAAGTTGATAGGGGCCCTCCCTGGTGGCACAGCAGGTTAGAGTACAGCACTGCAAGCTCTCCGCAGCCACTTCAGTGCGAGTTCAATCCCCGCCCCGGAAGTGACCCACATGGCGCAGCAGACCTCTCCTATCTCGCCTGTTGCTGCCCTCAGCAGTGTACTTCATCTGCCTGTTCTGCTCCCCACTCTGTGTCTAGTAAATCCTCTCACTGCCCCTGCACCTCTGGCCTGTACCGCAGTTCTGTATGCATAAGTAAATAAATCTTTAAAAATAAATAAATAAAATAAAAGTTGATTTTAAATAAAGAGCAAACTGGAGATGCCTATTTTTTCTGGATGGGGGATGCATATGTGTGTGCTGTAACCTGTATGCTTAAAAATATACCTTAATTTTAAAAAGCATATATAATAAAACAAAGATAATTAGTAGAAGATTTAAAAATAAAAATATGTCAGACACTGGAAGCAAGGAGAGACACACAGCATAAGTGTGCTGAAGTTTCATAATTCACATATGAGAGCCAGTTGGTATTGTCCAATGTTAATCAATACACTAAACAAGAAATGGCAGTGTAAGTGCACTATATAAAGGTGACCGGTAACAGGTCTAAAATCAGAAACAAACCAATTCAGAAGAAACAGGAGTGTTGTTTTTCACTCTAAATGTTTCTGACCACTTGTAATGTCATGACTGAAAAAAATGTTTTCAAGAACAAAAAAAGGACAACCATAATACTCAAAATGGAGATTTAAAAAAAAAATTCCCACATTATCCTTAAATAGAAATAAACACTCTTAGTTTCTGGTCTTCAGAAATTTCTAAATGTTTATTTCAATTAAAAAATAACACTATATGCCCTCCCTGGTGGCACAGCGGGTTAAAGCACAGCATTGAGAAGCTAAACCCACTTCCGCATGAGTTCGATCCCCGCCTGCCCCGGAGGTGACCACATGGCGTGGCAGACCTCTCCTGACCCGCCCGCTGCTCCCCTCAGCAGTGTACTTCGTAGATCTGCCTGTTCTGCTCCCCACTCTGTCTCTGGTGAAGCCTCTCGCCACCCCTGAGCCTCTGGCCTGTACCCCAGTTCTGTGTGTACAAATAAATAAATCTTTCAAAAAAAAAAAAACAAAACAAAACACTATAGGGCCCTCCCTGGCAGCACAATGGGTTAAGCACAACACTATGAAGCTACCACGGCCACTGCAGCATGAGTTCAATCCCCACCCTAGAGGTGACTCACATAGCGTTGGCAGACCTCTCCTGACCTTGCAACTTCTCCCCTCAGTAGTGTATTTTTCATTGATCTGCCTGTTCTGCTCCCCACTCTGTCTCTGGTGAATCCTCTACTGCCCCTGCACCTCTGGCCTGTACCCCAGTTCTGTAGACATAAATAAATCTTTAAAAAAAATGTAACACTATAAAAACTACTGTGTTTTTGGCCAATTTTGGCAAGTTTACCTACCTGTTTACCAAAACAGGTCCTTTAAGAAGGAAAATCATCTTACCCTGAAACTATGTTGTAGTTGAGAGCAGGATGGTCTTTGGATACAGGAGGAACAAGAGGTTCTGGTTGCCACTCTTCAATCAATTCTTCCTTTTCCTACAGGAGACCAATGGGTTAAAGTACTGCACAGAGCTAGCCGCTGGACAGGAGCTCCAGCAACTCCTTTTACCTGTTACGTCATGCGTTAAAAGTGTCTGACATTTTGAATTTCATATCCTTTCTTAATCAGAACAAAAGAAGACTGTAAAAATGTAGCCTGTATATATGGAGATGATACACACAGCAACTGCTGCCTTATGACAGGCTCTCACCAGCATTGTTACATGTTTCTCTGTATTTTTTTTCTGACAGGCCGACAAGGCAAGACCAAGGGCATTTTCAACTGATGCTCAAGCACTCATCAGGATTAGGCTGATTAAGTTAACCAACAGATTCCGTATCTGTTTCTACCAATGACTGCACAGGAGACCCAGCAGCCCAGATAAGCCCAGAGAAGGTGTCATGCACACTATGTTAAATTTACTCAGTAGCCCCTGGTACTCAAGACTCTACGGATCCATATAAATGCTCCCAACTAAGTGCTCCCAACATGAGTGGAAGTAAAAGCTTCTTTTCTACCTTAGTGCCCCATGCTAAGAGACTACACATGGTCAGCAGCACAGTTTCCCTCGAATCTTCTTAAGGGTTTGCTGAGCCTCAGCTGGGTCCCTTACCAAGGGAACATACTAACATATTATTAGGGGTCAGGGTGGGGGAAGGCTTTCCAACTCAATCTCTTTTATGAAGACCATGGAGAAAACGTTCACTTAGGCTTCAGAAACAGCTGTGCTTTCCCCAAGCAACTCAGGTATCCTGCCTGATACCTGGGCATGCTGAATCTAGCAGCTGTCCATGCTTTCCTTCCACCATCTCCTTCACCTCTAGCAAAGTCTACAGAGGTCAGCAATATGCATTCCCCTGGGGAGTGACTTTAATCCTGGCATCACCATATTTGCCCAACCTGATATTTCAGTCCTCTGAAATCACACAAAATACTTTAGCATGTATAGTTAAGCCACTACAAGTTTTTTCTGGAAAGATGTAGGAACTGTAATCACACACCAAATAAAAACACATTTAACTTCTTACCTTGACTGTAAGATCAGATCGTTCTTGTAATTTGTAAGTTTTAGAGAAAAGAAGTCTGATTATCCAGAGTATTAGAATCCCCTCCAAAATAAGATGGTAAGCAGGAGCCTGAGTGATATCAAAATAAAAACAAATTAACATTTTCAAAATATGAACATAAATGTAATTACCTGCAATACTACTTCCTATGACCTTTAGCCTATTACTCCTTAAACTTATTTTTATGAACCTTTCATTTGTACTTATTCCTGTTTTCCATTTCTAATAGTAAATTTCTCCTACACCTGAAAAATCTTTAATACTACAGTTTAAAACACCTTTATGAGGGCATCCATGGTGGTGCAGGGATTAAAGTCTCAGTACTATCAAGCTATCACCAGCCACTGCAGCATAAGTTCTATCCCAGACAGGGAGCTGACCCCATGGCACAGCAGAACGGCCCTGTCTAGCCTGCTGCTCCCCTCAGCAGTATATTTCAGTAGATCTGCTTGTTCTATTCTTCACTGTCTCTAATGAATCCTCTCACCCCCTACACTTCCGGCCTACACTCCAGTTCTTATATGCATAAATAATTAAAAATAAATCTTTAAATAATTAATTCATTAAACACCTTTAAGAAACAAAATTAATTTTTTAAAAATTTGGTGAAGAGGGCCCTCCCTAGCAGAATGAGTTAAAACTCAGCACTAAGAAGCTATCCAC